GTCACTTACTAGGTCTTCAGAAGTTGTGGTTAAATGATTATTCTTTGAGAAACGAAGTTCATGAGACAATGACCGTTCTTCTTGTCTCCTGCAGCATTTAACTTACTTATAAACTTAAAGTTTACATACAAAATTATGACATTTATTTAAGATTAAAAATAGTTGTTATTAGTTAGTTCCATACAAAGGTGTAGGAAGCTGATGCTCTTGAACATGAATTGGAAACTCAAAAGAATTAGTCATAGTTGGATCTGTAGACCTATTATGTTCTTGCTCGACATGCTGTCCATTTTCCATCTAGTTCATGAATATACATTCATCAAATGCTAAAAAAAAATAGTAAGAGTTGATAGAATTATGCTTAAAAAAAGGTTTTGTTATACCTTTGTAAAAGTATTTGACTCTTGAAAGGAGTTCAAGAGAGCTTGACGAGTTAATAAATTTTGTCTTGATGATGGCACATTTGGTATACTTGTTATACCATTATGTTCTTGCTCGGCATGCTGTCTAATCTCCATCTAGCTCATGAATATATATTCATCAAATACTACAAAATTTAGAAGCAATCGATAAAAAAAAAATTGTTGTACCATTGTAGAAGTATTTGACTTTTGAAAGGAATTCAATAGAGCTTGATGACTTAATATATATGGTCCTGTTAGCACATTTGGTATACTTGTTGTACCATTATGTTCTTGCTCGACATGATGTCCAATCTCCGTCTAGCCCATGAATATATATTTATCAAACACTAAAAAATTTAGAAAGGATCAGTAAAATAAACTTAAGAAAAAACAAATTGTTGTACCATTGTCGAGGTATTTGGTTCTTGACTTAATATATTTTGGTCTGATTGAACATTTGATATACTTGTTGTACCATTATGTTCTTGCTCAATATGTTGTCCAGTCTCCATCTAACTCATGAAAATTGTTCATTAAATACTAAAAGGATTAGAAGATTGTTATCGATTGTACAATCGATAAGATAAAACTAAAAAGAAAGACCATTGGAGAAGTATTTGGTTCTTGAAAGGAATTCAAGAGAGCTTGATGACTTAATGAATGTTGTCCTGATGGCTCATTTGGTATACTTGTTTGTAAGCAAACTTCTTGTGAATTATTATTTAGTTGTTGTTGTTCTTGCTGCTTAAAAAAATGAAAAATACATTAGATCAAATCGCGCCCGTAACTATATCTAATATAAGTTTATAGATTAAACATAAAAATTTCATCTGGATTTTGTGGTGGTGCTATGCTTATTGTAGAATTTTGTAAATTCTTCTTATATTCCACAAAGCAAACTTTTTTATCATCAAAAACCACAGTAGTATAATATATGAACAATTAACAGTGAACGGTAAGAATTGTACAGTTGATGAAAAGTATGGTTCCGGTGACTCTAAGTAGCCTGGTTCCGGTGAGTCGAAGTATAAAAAACTAAAGTCCAAGTTTTGATCGTCGAATATATCTTCAGGGAACGTCATGTTAGCCAGATCGCTTACCTAAAAAATCGATGAGATATTTACGAATATGAAATCAATTTTTGAATAATATCATGCTACTTCGACATATGTATACATACACATCGAAATGGAGTATGGTTTTGAGTGAGAAGATCAAATCAGAACATGTCAAAGGTATTCCAAATTACAACCATCATAAGCCTTTTTTTCTTTTAATTCTCTTTTTGTTCAAATGAAAGATCATGAAAAAAATAAGTCGACCGAATCTGGTTAGTATTACGTGGCTATAAATATATTGCTTGTACCATTCTATGTATACACACTGGATAATGGAAACAAGTATTCCAGCAAAATGAAATAAGTGATAGGTTTCTAAAAAACTTCTCACATCTACATGAATAATATTGGATCAAAGGAAAAAACTATCAACAACAAAAAGTATTTGTAAAAAACGAAAAAAAGTATTGATATTCAAAGAATGGCGACACAAATATACATCGGGAAAAGATTAAAACTTCAGTTGAAGAAATCATGACTGGTAGTAAAGCAAGGAAAATAAAAGTTGATAAATAAGTGAAACTACATGCATGATATATATCCCATAGAAAGTAAATCTACGGGGAGATGATAGTGATATATATCCCATAGAAAGTAAATACAAGGAGAGATGATTGAGAATATCAATATCATTTACAATATAAACATATTAAATTGAATCGCATAAAAGTTGAAATGCGAAGAACGTAAAGTTGACAATATAAACAGAAGAAGCAAAGAAAAAAGGAGAGATGAGAAACACTTACAAGACCAGCAATTGAAATCGAATAGAGATTGATGATGTAGGCGCATCAGATTTCTTACCACCTATATATACAACGAGATAAGAAGAACCTAGACTTGGTTCATTTTATTGCCACGTGGTTAAAAAGAAATTAATACTTTAGTTAATTTATAGAAAATGAAAATATTGTGTGGAACAAAAATCACAAAATGAGATTTTTATTATTATTTAGAGTAATGTGTTTTCTTACAATTAAAGGTTTTACGAATTTGCCATCGAGGTTGGTAATAAATCGGATACCAAGGGTAACAAAAATTTATGCACAAAAACAACATTTTATGTTAAGTTTTTGTAAAATATATTGTAAACATATAC